AAAAAAAAAAAAAAGTGAAAAAAAAATTTGAAAAAAAAAAAAAAAAAAAAAAAAAAAAAAAAATATATATATATATATATATATATATATATATATATATATATATATATATATATATATATATATATATATTTTTTTTTTTTTAGAGGGATTTTTATAACTAATTATAAATGAGCATTTTTATAAACAGGAATACAGATTAATCCTCATGATCAGGATGTCTATATACAGAATTATATCTTTTAGATCAACTTCTTCAGCAGCAGATCGCACCAAGAGCAACTCCAGTCAGCTAAGAACGGGACAGTTAGCCTACATTTTACACAGACTCACCGTCACTGAACAGCAACAGATTGGGTAAAATGTTACCTGTGTCTTTTTACCATGAGTCTGTTGGTTGAGTAAGATTTGACATAAACAACATGAAAGCACGTCTGTCCTGTCCTGTATGAACGGTTCTAACTGGTGTTTCAATCAATTAATTAATCAATCAAGTTTACCTGTGTAGCACATTCCAGCAACAAGGTGGTTCAAAGTGCTTTACATCATAAGAACATAAAAATATAAAGTCATGTAAGATACCACACAGTCAACAATTGGTCAGTGTTTCATTTGTTATGGTTCAAAAGCAAATTTAAACAATCTTCTGACTGTTTCAGCAGGATCATGAACCATGTTACAAATCACAAATGATCTCAACGTGGTTTGCTGAAAAGAGCTTTGGGGTGTATAGCAAACAACCTTGTGACACGACCATGTCAATATGGGCTGAAGCATCTTGGGAATGTTTCTGTCACCATGTTGGATCAGTGCCGTAGAAAGTCAGGGCAGCTTAGAAAGCAGAACAGAGTCCAAACTGGCATGAGAAATGTTTAGAGAATACAGTTGGCAGTGGCGATATTCCTTCTTCCTTTCATTTACACAATATCACAGAGTTTGGGCACATCCTGTCCCGGAGTCGTTCAGGAAGAACGTCCACCGTAAGATCAAATATAAATGAAGATATACCTGTAAATGTTTGTATTTAAAAAAAAAAAAGGTAAGCTCTATTATGTGTACCCTTTGCTTTACTGTGATCCAGCTCCCAGTTTCAATTAGCAGTTCAAGATCTTGGTGTACTTTCAGAAATAGACTGAAAGCTTTTCTTTTTGATAACTCCCTGGAACCTTCACTGAAGGACAATCCATTGAGTTATGCTGCTTTAGGTCTAAGCAATATAATAATGGCTCTCCTGCATCAGAAAAAACTGAAATGATAGTATAAGTACCCACTTTTTATGCAAAATGCTATGAATCAGTATCCTTGTTCGAATATGATTTTATGGAGCTTGTTTACCAGAAAGTGCAGATCCTTTTTTTTTTCCATCAAATTTAATAAATGAGCAAAGAGCCAGTGATGAATAAAGAAAAGGGAAATTATCCATGCCCCAAGGTTGATCTTTTGTACAACCGCTGACTCCTTACAAGCCTGTCTGGTTTTCTTTTTTTTTTTTTTGCTGATGTGATTTTAATAGAAACATATTTTAATCTTGCTCTTTTTGATCTAAGGTAACAGATTGTGTGTCTGTCATGTCATAATTTAATCAGATTTTGATCTATTTTTTCTTTTCGTCCTGCAGCTTTCTGTCAGATACATTCACAGATTCTCCAATCACAACTACACACCAGTCTAAAATGTTTATCTGCTAACAACTCAAAGGCAGGAGTGGTATATTTCAGCTATCCATTTAACACTTAGCCTTCCATGGGAAATATCCTGCCATACAGTATCTACAAGGCTTTAAGAGCCTCAGAATCATTCAAGTTTTCATGGGATTATTCAAGAAACCCGATCAGCCCATTGTTCAAACTCACACAATCAGGGAGGAAAATAAAAACCTTCGACAGAAACATGCCAGCAGTGTTTCTGTTCTGTTACTCGGAAGTTGTTCCACGCTTCTAAGTAACCGTGGCACACGTCTCCTTAAGGAAATAATAACAGACAGTACATACCTCTGTCAGGTTGGACTGTTCCAGAGAAAAACAAAGAGCTAAGCTAGCCCAACCGGTCTTACAACCACGCAAGCTGAAAAATAAACATTTCTGGGAAAAATGTGGCACACGTCCCAATCTTCAGTTCAGATGTAGAACTAGCTAAACTCAAATCATTAGAAACGCAGCAAAATCTCATCCAGAAGGTTCTGTCCATTCTGTCCTCTCGGGGATTCCAGCAATTTTAATGTGAAGTTTAATTTTGCTTCCCTCTAAATTCCCAGGTTTTGCCTCAAGATGATGCTGATGAAACGCTGCAACTTCCTCTAAATTATATGACGACAATTCCTCCTTTAGTTTATTAGAGTCGTTGTGCGAAGCCACAGTTTCATTGCGGCCTAAAATGCATTGATTACTGCCAACAAATCACAGTTTGAAGGATCTGCTTCTTTACTCATAAAGCATCGTCTGAGTTGGTGCTGCATCTGCAGTGATGCGAGTGCTTTATGTGTCGTAGTAAAGCAAAGCTCTCGATTTCTTCAGAAGATGAACGATGGGTGGATGGTTTGCTGTTTTTGCTGCTCATTTCAGCTTTTTTTGGTGGTTTGTTTTGTTTTTGTATTATAATGATTGTTCTAGCCACTGTATTTAGATTTATATAGATATTGATCTGTTGCCTATTAAATGTATGCGAATGTTGCACGAGATTCATGTGGTATTTGTAAGGTCATGTAGGTGATGCACATCGATAAACAGCGGGAATATAATTAAGTTTACACTTCTTCTCATTTCCTCGAATATGTAAAACAAAAGTTTTGACATTATGCTACATCCTCTAAGTATTCTTATATATATTAAAAAGAATAATCAACATAAACAATATTTGCATTATCACCATTACCAGTCGGACGGTCTTTATCTGGCCTCGACGTCCAAACCAGACGTGTGTTTTTACTGTTTTAGGTGCTAAATTTCACAGAAAGTGTAATGATGGAAAAGAAGAATGGGGAAAATGTGGGTTAACCATAATCGATATTATAATCACACTATTCAGCAATCATATCTCAATTACACATTTGCAAATATCAGTAATTTTTTAGAAATGAAGCAGGATTTTAGTGTTGTTGTCATCTGAAAACTTTTTTTTACCATCATTTCCCATGGAAACAAAGTCCACAAGGCTGCAATAACGTTTTGAGCTAAACTTTTTTCAGTTTATTTTAAGTATTTCATTTCGAACAGACTGAGACACTTCAATAATCTTTGTTTTTCCTGTAGAAACTTGACTTTGTCTATTTACATTTTCCTTCCAGATTGCCAACGGTCTACTTCTCAGCATCGCGTTGTATTGTTAACTGATGCTAGTAAATGAAGTTAGTTCTGCCTCACTGACGATTATAATACTGCAGACTAATTACCGTAATGTGAACCCGATCGAGAGTTAAACTCTTGGCCACAGTAATTATGTGTGAAAGCTTCAAAGGTGTTAGACTCGTGGGCGTGCTTGATTCAGGAAACTGTTCTTAGCACGAAATGTTGTAGATTTTAGAGAGAAGAGGCGTGGAGCAAATCAGCAACTTCTCCTCATGAAAGCTGCAGTGTTGAGATCAGGTAGTCAGGTAGGGGGTAGATCTGATGAAAAGCCCTGTGGAGTGCGACTCCCCGCTGAAAATCCACCATGAGGACTTCAAAGCCTCCTCTCATGTGAAGCAAACTGGTTAGACTGAAAAATGACAGCCCCACGGCGCCAAAAAAATCTTTCAGTGATGGCTTGACTTTAAACACAATCATCCATCAGTTAAAAAAAAAAAAGGTGTCACGTACAAAACCAAGCAAAAGTATCCAAACTTGACAGTGTATCCTGTTGTTACAACATTGAACGTATTTTGGAGATTTATTATCTATAGATCATCATCAAGTTCTACATGAAATTGTAACCAGATGTTTATAAGTGAACAATGTTGCTTCCACTTCATATTCAATCAAATAATCGAGTTTATTTGTGTAGCACATTTCAGCAACAAAGGCAGTTCAAAGTGCTTTACATCATAAAAGCACACAAAATATATGAAGTTGTTGAACACCGTCAACAATTGCCATCTTACACATCAAAATGTTGATTCGTGTTTCATTGATTAAGTTTCAAACCAGTAGGTTTTTAGTCGAGATTTAAAGGCAGAAGTGTTTCGGTTGTTTTCCAGTTTTTTGAGAGTTTGTTCCAGATTTATAGTGCGTAGAAGAAGGTGTTTTTTTATTTTTATAACAAATCTTTGTTTGATGCTTATAAAGGACATTGTATATTTTCAGACATGAATATTATAACCCTATCCAAACTTCATTCCCCCCCCCCCCGTTGCTTTTACAGTTGCTGGAGTGATTATGCTTGTGTTTCCTTCTGCAGAATGCTGGCATTGAATTTAAGGTCAGAGTGGTTGGTGGATCCGCAGCCTCTAGCTACTTGTCCCCAAAGGACAGTCGACCATTGTGCCACCCTGCAGTTGACAGGTAGGCAAACAGATTCATTCTCGGGTAAAGCAGCTTTAGCAGCATCAGGATTTGCATCCTTAACGGAAGCTCTCAAACTGAGATGGTCTCAATGACGGAATAAAACCATCCTACGTTATTAGGGGCCCACACAAAGAAATAATTTCATTTTGGTGTTTGAACAGAAAGTCAGAAATCAGGAACCATTAATTGGATTAGACCAGAAATAATAAACAAGGTGAAGGGAACTGGTTTAAGTCTAAAAGCACCAAGGTGATATCAGAGAAAGAGCTGAACCATAAATAAGATATTAAAGGAAGGGTGTTATGGAAAAACATTCTTTTTTTTTAGCTTTACATCATGTTGTGAAGTTATTCCATCATCAAAATGGACCTGAAGTTTTTCTTTGATTCTTTCATCCATGTTTGATACATTTTTTATTCTCTCATGCCAATACAAACACTTACTCACACAAAAGCGGCCCTTATTTCCACAAAGTTCTTCCTTGGATCTGTAGCCCCCAGTCAAGCTTCCACCTCAGAGCACCCCCTCCTCCACACCTTGTCCACTCAGCTCCTCTAGACTAGCAGCAGCAATTAGCAAACAGCTGGGAAACTGCATGTCTGCTCAGCTTGTCATATGAGCTACTTCTTAATCCAACGCTCCAAACTGTTGTGTAATGAGAAACATTGTCATGACATTGTCGCTTCACAATCACAAATGTTTGTGTATTTTGATTAGGATTATATGTGACAGACCAAGACAAAGTCATGTAATATATTAGATAAGTGAAAGAGAATCAAATTAAAATAGGAATGTATGATGTACATTCAGTTTTAGCCTCTTTGAATCAATATTTTATAGAAACACCGTCTGCTGAAGTTACAGCTGCAATTATTTTTGGGTTTGTCTCCATCAGCTGTGCTCTGTTACAGATGGACATTTCTGCCCATTCTGCTTGGCAAAATAACTCAAATATGTTGCAGAGCAACTGTGTACATTATTTATTTTTAACTTTTACTAAGGTTAAAAAAAAAAGTAAGGTCTTTTTTTTTTTTTTTAGAATGATCTTTACTGGACCATTCCAGTATATAAATGTTTGCTGATCGAAACGGTCCCTTTGTCTCTGGTTAAATGTAGTTTAGTGGTATCCAAAGTGCAGCTGAGGTCCAATTTTCCATCGGATGATGACGAGTAAAGAACAGTACTAACTGCTGCACACTTTTTACATTTTTGTAGGGAGATTTTCAGTCATCCTTGGCCTTTCTACAGGATGTAAATGAAAAATGTACTCAGGAAAAAGACCAAGAAAAACAAGAAATTTAATCTCATTAACTTTCACCTTAAGCACATTGAGTTGCTCATACTTGTAAATTCTTTACAATTTCCAAAGACAATAATTTTAAAGATTCTAAGAGAGTTTGTTTCCGTCAAACCACTATTCATTTTTTGCACTTCTGAATTAATTACACTCATAATAACCTTTGAAGTGGCTTCTAGTGAAAACAATTTGGGTCGTACAGCTAAGCGTGTGCAGCATCTTATAGCAACTTAAAGGACATAGTAATTCATTAAAGATACATGGCAGTTAACTTGTGTAGTTCTATTTCTTTTTGTGCATTTCATCATTGTTTGTAGTACTTTATTGTTTTTTCTGTTGTGTTTTAAATGTGATTAAAACACAAAAAAATTCCTCCAAACATTCTCTATTATTCTGTCCCTGAGAAAATAACAAGTTTGATGACCCTAACTTACATAAAACATCAATAAAAGGGTCTGATTTAATCTTGCTGGAAAAATGAAAGTTACATGGAGTCGTACCAGTTAGGGAAAAAATATGTTTACACAAATGGCTAACACAAATTTGCCTCATTTGATTAAGATGTTTTTGTTATCTGAATAAATCACTGCAGTGGTAAAATTAGCAAACATTCTGTATTTAGAAAATGTGTTGAACAGAAGCAAAAAGATGTACTGAAGGATAAATGTATGCAAATGCTGGAAGTTCAACACATCTTTATCTGCAGGACAAATTTGCCAATACTTCCCTTCATCTTCCTGGACCAGTAAGATAAACATATGATATTGTGTAGCTGTTGAATACTAATGCTTATTATCGTCCCTGAGATAAAAGTTGTGCAGATGAACATGATGTTAGAGCAGGTCTCCACTGGGCCAGTTTGCATGTTTCAGGGTAAAAAAAAAAAAAAAGTTTAAATTTAAAGACTATCAAAGCTTGCTTTCTTGTTTAGCATTGACAGATGGTTGTTTCCTGTGCTCAGATTTCTTTTGTTTTTGCTTTTTTTATAACGATGTTTCAGACGAAACTATATGAAAAAGTATTTCTATAATTAGTATAATAGTAATTGGAAGCAGTTTTAGTATTAAAACTTTTTGTGATAAAGTTAGTAATCTGAAACATTTGGTTGACAAAATTGCAAGAACTATTAAAGAACAAATATTATGAAGGTGTAAACCAAGTTTCTTAAAACATGTTTCTGTTGCAGGGCTTTAAAGTCTTGTGGGCCAGGAGGACCTCCTCATGTGAAGCTTGTTATTGAGTGGGGCCACAGCTCTAAAGAACGGTAGGCTCTGTGCTAAAGTTTCATTTTTAGCACAAAGTAACAAGCATTTTCTGATGCTGTCCAGAGGGGCCTTGTTTGCTAAAACACTAACTGATCAGTTTTATCTTTGTAAAATGGAGCAGACATAGACTCCCGCTGATTCTAGCAGCGGAAACGCAATTTAGCAACTGCATGCCAACGACACACACTGTGTTTGCCTCAGTCTGTTTGGCAACATCCACGAGGAGGTGGTGAAAGACGCAGAGAGTGTGAGGAGCCAGCAGCAGCAACACCTGCAGCAGCACAACTGCACCTTGGACGAATGCTTCCAGCTTTATACCAAAGAAGAACAGGTGAGACAGGCTGCAAACAGCTTCTACTCTGTTGAACAAAACTCTGCATTTCAGAATGTCATTGAAAAGAGAAACAATGCAAAATCTAAGAGAAAGTTTATCTGTGCTCTTGGATGTGCTCTCCTCTGCTGGAAACGGAAACAGAAACATTCCCCTGCTGCTTTTAAATTGTTCACAACAGAGCAGAAAACAGCAGCGGCATCAGAATTACCATTTGATGCTAGGTTTTGAGCTGAAGACTTTAAACTTTGCATTTATTGTTTAACTATTGCAGTCAGGGTAGATAAATGTTGCTTCCACTGTTTTAGGGATATTAAAGGGACGTACTACTTAACGTAAAACTAGAGAAAATCAGGTATGTGATGAGCCTGGATTTTAAAAGCCTGGAAATATTTCATAGTTTTTCAATAAACCCTCAACAAAGGTCCAGGATTAGCAGACCCTTGAAATTTTGGCTGAGCAGTGGTTCCATAAATCTTTACGTTGTTTTTCTTTTTGTTTGTTGTTGTTTTTTTGCTAAATACCTTGTAGGTGACAATATTTGCAGTTTTTTTTTTTTTTTTTCTTCTTTGTTGGAATTGTGTTTTTATATAATGTAAAAAGCCTAATAAGTATTTTAAAAACTAAAATCACTGGATACTGATACGATAAAATATTCTATACAACTCATTTTGGGATTCTGAAAATATTAGTCATTTTGTAAAATGTAAAAATAACCTTATCAGTTATTTTTGGCATTAGAAACAGCTTAGCGTTGGAAAAAATAAATAAATATATAAATAAAACGCATTATAGCGACTAGTCAGACCTACAGTGGAATATTCTACACTGACCACATATTCTTTAAAACAGTTTGCGATTTGTAAAACTTTTACAAAAAAAAAAAAAAACAATAAACTGAGGATTTTATAAATTAGCACTTGAAGGTGTTAAAATTTCCTCTCAGTATTGTTCATTATCTCCTTGTGAAAACTCAGCAACACCAATAATTCTCATCTGGTTTTTAGAGGGCTGGCATTTTAGAGAATTCTAGCATAGTTTGGGAAAGCACTGTTGTTAGAGCAACAACAACAAAAAAAACTCTGCTGCATTTACAGGTCAGAATAATATTGGTAACACTTTTTCTGTGATGAAAGTAAAAACTAGCAGCAAGAGCTAGTGAAAAATCCCAAATGGCTCAGTTGGAAGGTCGAGGTGACAAACAGACGGTTCTTGATTGGTCACCAGATCTCTGGCAGGTGGAAGGAGGGCAAGAGGAAAAGCAGGAGGGATTTAAAAGGATTAGTGAAGTGAGACTGGGTCTAACTAACAGAAGGTGTAATGCAAGAGACAGACAATGAACCCAGACATGAGGTGAGACAGATTTTACAGAAAAAAAATAAATGAATTAGTATTGCAATTTATAGTTTATGCAAATTTTTAATATAAATAATGATTTGCTGTAAAGGCCAACATTGTTCTTTACTTCATATTTCCTAAATGGCAACATGTTTGTTTGACTTCTCGACTATGGTCGGAGTGGTTCTTGGTGGAATCTGAAGAAGTTCAGAAAAGCATGTGTAACATTTCCATCAATATGTTTTCCAATCACAAACTTATGAAGGTCTTGAGAGTTTTTCTGTTTCCAACCAGGATGAGTTGATTCTTGTGTGATGCCTTGGTAAAGAGAAACACTTCAGTGGCCTTCAAAACTAAATGAACTAAAATACAGTAACTTTGCTCTAATAGACTGACTTTCTAAGCACTGAGAGCTTTTAGTGATTTTCAATATGCCTCCTTTTTTTCCTGTTTTTGTGATCCCTCTATTATTCCCCTTTATTACACAAAACCTTATTGATAAAATAATTAGTTATTTTTTTGTTTCTTTTGACTGCTTGGTAAGAATTTAATGTCAATACTTCAATTAGTGTTAGGAATGCTGAGAAAGGTAGAAGCCATGAATTGTAGTTTGTTAAATGATTACATTTGTGTCCTCATGTTGTGGTCGTAACAAACTAATGTAAATCTTTGATTACATTTAACCTGCATACAGTCTGTTAAAAAGAAAAAAGATCATGATCATTGGCTTTATCAGAGAAAATGACTTTATTGCGTCCTATAAACACCCTTTATGAGGTAAAAGCTTAAACTCTAATCTGTTCTTGGTTGCTTTTGCATATCTTCTTATATTGTGGTTGAAACTTGCATTAAAAAAATTTAAATGCAGGTAATCATGAACTTTGAGTATAAGTCCAGTTGTGAAGGTTCAATGCAAACTGTGAACGCTAATAATCAGATAATTTCACATTGTGTGCTCAGTATAAAGGCACATTGTGCGATTGTGCCTGTATACATACATTCTAGCATAGTTTGAGATGTTCAAATTTTATTTCAAATTTGACGACAGAATACTAATTCTTTGCCTGGAAACTGATGCAGTAGTTGAAGGACAAGCTGTAGTCTCTCCTCTTTTTAACTTGAAATTGAAGTAGGTAACATATATATATATATATATATATATATATTTACAGAAGAACAGTTACTTTGTTGTGACTCAATAACATGAGATGGATAATCTGTAAAAAAAAAAAAAAAAAAGGAAATAAAAAATGTATCTCCTCTGCCTACACCCGGTGGTCCCACTGCCATCTACAGAAACTCACCAAAAACAATCAACCGGAGCCAGGAGGAAGGTCTATGGCACCTTTAAACCATTAGCACACAGCTGTTCTAGTGCTGGGAAAACAACTTCCCATTATAGGAAACTTGTTTATCCGATGTCATCAGTGGCCATGTTACCTTTCCCCACGCATCCACAGCATGCTGCGCTGTGGGGAAGAAGCTGCATCCCAGCAGAGTTCAAAGGGTTCTGATTGTTTTTGCACAGTGGCGCAGTTGGTAGAGCTGTTGTCTTGCAGCAAGAAGGTTCTGGATTCGATTCCCGGCCCCGGTCTTTCTGCATGGAGTTTGCATGTTCTCCCTGTGCATGTGTGGGTTTTCTCCGGGTACTCCGGTTTCCTCCCACAGTCCAAAAACATGACTGTCAGGTTAATTGAAGTAGGTAACTTATATATTCCTGTGTGTGCATGGTTGTTTGTCCTGCGTTTCTCTGTGTTGCCCTGCGACAGACTGGCGACCTGTCCAGGGGGAACCCCGCCTCTCGCCCGCAACGTTAGCTGGAGCTAGGCACCAGCAACCCTCCCGACCTCACTAGGGACAAGGGTGTAAAGAAAATGGATGGATGGAACTTGGACAACTAGGAGTCAAGAGATGCACAGAAACTGAGATGGAATAGCTGCTGTTATTTCTTGTTATCTCTGGCTTTTTCTTTCTTTCTCTTGCCCAGCAGACATGTTGCTTTTTAAGCAGCATAGAACAGTACTCTGCATTTTCCTTTCTTGTCGAAACCATCATGGAAGAAGTGCTCATCTTTGTAATTACTCTCCCTGTGCAGCAGGTGACGGTTCTGATGAGCCACTTGAACATGCAGCCACTGCGACAGGACTTAATCTCATAATAAGGAAGTAAAATCTTACTTATCAGAGTTCTAGCAGGAAAAACCAGGAGTGTTGACTCCATCAACACTTTTGTTTCTCTTCTACCTCAACATGTTGTGCTGCTTCCTGAAAACTACTGCAACACATTTCTCAGTCATTTCATGAATAAAGTAGCGGTTCTTTCTCTCTTCTTAAAAGAGACCTTACCTGGAAGAGCACATCAACTCTCTTTCCTTCTTTTATTAAGTAATTAATTTTCAGTTATTTAAAGTTTGATACTTTCACTACAATATTAGCATCCAATGTACATTTCAATGTTTCTTTTACCACTGGTATTTCCCATGCTGATCAGTCACATTTATTGTCTTCTGCGTGTATCTGGTTGTCTTAGAAAGTCACAAAAGTAAAACCAACCATGCATGCACACTGAGGGCATTTAGAGAGCAGCCCTAACATACTCGGTTTCAGAAATCAGGAGAGAAGGAGGAAAATTTAGAAAAATCTGGCAAACTCTGTGCAGAAAGGCATTGAACTTATTTTTGGGTTTGCTGTGCAAAAGTGTTTAAAAGCTCTAAGATTTAGAACAAACAATAGTTTCTAAAACCTTAATGTTTGATTTCAGCTCGCTCCAGACGACGCCTGGAAGTGTCCGCACTGCAAGCAGCTGCAGCAGGGCATGGTGAAGATGAGCCTGTGGACGCTGCCCGACATCCTCATCCTCCACCTCAAGCGCTTCCGTCAGGTGTGTGAAACCAAAACCGGTTCATAATGAACTCAGGGGTTGTGATCTAGCATACACTAATTTCACGTTGTTGGATAAATGCAGAAATCAATGTTTTTGTATGAGCATGTGATCAAATCCATGACAGGCCAAGAGTTTTATTTCTCGCTCCTTCAGCTGAGTAAACAGGAAATAAGTTACAACATAAGAGAGTGAAAGTCAATAATTTGCAAAAGAGCTGGGATGTTAAATTGATTCACACATGTGACTTTAAAAATAAAGGCTAAACCAACAACAGAGTCTAACCCTACGACCAATAAAGAGCAGTATGCATAAACTGTCAGATATTAAACACATCAGTGGGTGTGATAACTTCCCAGTTTATATTTTTCTACTTTTGATAGCAGTTGGACACCTAAATCTTAATTTAATTAATTAGAGGCATTGAAATGTGATCAATCTCATTTTGTCAAATTTAAATTTTTGACACAGTAAGCAGTGATTTCTTGTGAATGACATAAAATGTAAATGATGTTGTTGTACAGCAGTTTCTACCTCAGTTTAGTAGAAACTGTAATCTTGTGGTCTTGGTTTTACAGATCCAGATGTAGTTATATTCAAGATGTTTTTTTTTTTTTTAATAGTAAACATTTCTCAATTAAAGAGGCGGGATTTCAAATCATGACCTAAAATAATCACATTAATTTGCTTTTTTACTTAAGGAACACTCTGCCTGCAGTAAAGCCATTACATTTTTTTTATTTCTGCTTTGACAAGAAAGGTGATGCATACATCTTTTTTTTTTAATACCTAGTTTGAACAGTATTTATTTTTTGTTTGATGGTTTAGTTAATTAATGCGCTGACTTGTTCAGAATCTGTGTAAGCTATATTACATTTATTTCTTAATTGGTTTAGGACAATAATATCTGCTACTCTGAAATATAATTACAGATTCCAATTCTGAGTCTGCTAATATTAAGATTTCTCTTTTTCTACATATCTGCCCGACCTTCGCTTTCCTCTCCTCTGTTATTCCTGTGAATTATTCCTTATGAATATTTCCTTAAACTTGATAAAATATGCATTTCAAAGCTACATTCATACCAGCTATCCTTTTTCCTTTTCCATCTCTGATATATTTGGACTTTGTTATTGCTAAAATTATCTTTCAGAACCTGACTTTTTTATGAAATGGTGTTTTGCACCCACGAGAATCTGCACCAAAACTCTTTCCTTACTTTTTTCAGCATTTATTCATTAAATGGCTGCATGTGTCATGTTTTGATAACTTTTCGTGATTTTTAAGATCGTCAGTAATTCACTTCTGCACAAACAAAATACCTCTTTCCAGCACCTGATGCTCCACATTTATTTGTATGGTATATGTCCAGGTTCCCAGCTGTAAAAATGTTCATCTTCTCATGTTATCTTCTCCTATTGCTAAAGATGGTTTTTAGTTTTTAGCTGTGTGAATCCAAGCATCCAAATAAAATAAAAATGCCCTCATGAGGAATTGAGTCCAGAACTAAATTTTGAAGAGAAAATGTTGCCAAAGTCAGGTTGTAGCGCGCTGACAAACTCAAACCAAAGAAACTAATACTGAATCTGAATGTGCTTTGACATAATTAATTCAACAGGATTAACAAATATGCTGCACCTTCATTCGTTTTCTTTTTAACAACTTGGCTTGTATTTCAGTTCAGTATCTCTGGATGCATATCTTGTTTTTATACAGCGCCGTAATATTCACAAGTGGGTGATCTAAACACATGAGATCTGGTTTTGGAGTAGAAAACAAAGCCTCTCCTCAGGATTAGTTCAGACCAGAGCTGTACAGAAAATTTTAGCACTTTCCTCACAAGCTTGTCTGTATGTCTTGTAAATCAACCAGTTTGAATAAAGAATGTCATTTCTGACCATGAGTGGTGAACATCTGGCCAGATTGACGCCTGAAGCTTGTTGTTACTGAAAATGTGGTCTCTCTCTGTAACTTGTTGATAAATACTCATTTGAATATTAATGAGAACGTTTGCATATATTACTTTGATCAAAATACATTCAAACATTTTCGAATTCAATGACAATTTTTACTGTTTGATCCTTTCTGCCTGAAGTCACAATTTCTTACTGTAAATAGTTAAAAACCTAAATTTATATGACATCCTTACAGACGAGGGATATAAATCTGAGACCAGCACTGAAGATAATCACAAATGTTCAGGTCAAAGCTTTCAGAGACATTGATTCTTGAGTGCAGCCGACTGATTTCTCTAAGGATGCTAATTTATATTCAGCTTAAATTCTCTGACTTTTACTCTCTTTTTCTTTCCATTGGCAGAATGCTTCAGTTTCTTTGGTGTACACAACTTTTTTTTATGATTTCACCAAAACGGCAAGGATCCAATGTATGGTTTTTGATTGACAGCTTCCTGCAATGCTTTAGCTTGTGGAGGTAATGCAATTCTGAATTAATTAAAAACGTATCTGTTAATTAAAAACGTATCCCACCTACCAGTGTTCACATTCACACACAGTACTCCTCAGGGCATGAAAGGGTTTTTTGTGCTGCCTTCGTTTGGTCCGTCCAGAACGCTGTGAAGTCTGAAGAAACGACGTTAGTACCGTTACATTTTCTCTTGCGTTGTGCCGTGTAGGTCACAGCGTTTGAATGACACTGGCGGTGGGTTTTATGTGCCATGTGCTTTTATCGTAGTCAGAACTGAGAGCATGTATCGGTGTTTCTCTGTGACCCGTTTAGACACTGGTGGTACAGGCTTTCACTGCTGTTCTGGACAAAAACAACACAATGGAGCTGAATATTCTCTGCTTGATACAAAAACTGTCCACATTATAGTATGTAATTAGTCCACTGGTAGAATTAGACGTTATCTTCAGCCAAGATACTCCTCCCCTCGGTTGGAGGCTTCCTGTTTTTATTCACAAATGTCACCACATGCATAGAGCTGTAGGTACATCTCAGTAAATTAGAATAGGCATTCCAGTGAGTTTTGAAAATAACTTTTAAACAGAATGTTTGGAAATATTTATTGGTCTGATTTATTATTCTCCTCTTAAATGTCATGTTTTTATTACTTGTGAGCAGAAAATTATTACAACTAAAAAAAATTCAACCTTGAAAATGTCTGTCCACGTGTAATTAATCTCGACCCCAGCCTGTTTGCGGTCCAGTATTTCCAGATTTTTCTGTGGAACTTATCTCCAAATTATTTGCAGAAAATGTGCTAATATCTAAATTATTTCAAAGAAAGTCTCACTTGTGAAGCAGATTGTTTGCAAAGCAGCCCATCATTTTCATTAGTGCTGATTGGCTGAACTCACAAGAGGGTTTCCACTGTGTGCATTAATGCATGTTGGAGTACATTTGGTGTTTTGAGCTATAAATTATGCAGGTTCAACTGTTTATAGACTGAAATAAATACACTTTTTGATAATATTCCAGTTTATTCAGATGCATCTTTTTACATCGACTTGTAAATATTAGAGTCAGAAGCTCTACCTTGCAGCATGACGATGCTTTTTTCCAAAAAAAAAAAATCCCTGCTGGGATTCTTTGTTTTGCTCATCATTGTGAGATCCTGTCACAGACGTCTGAAATCATGCAGTAGTGATGACAAAATCCTCAGCTTGAGAATCGTGATAACCAAACCCATCGTAGCTGTGGAAACAAACTACTTTGTCCTTATCCCTCATATTATGAGTCAGAACTGCATAGCAATTTGACACCCAAGAAAAAAAAAAAAAAGGGAATGTTTGTTTTATCAATGTTTTTTTTGAGTTGCTAGGACATGGAACACAGTTATCCATTTACCAGATCTATTTTAGCTGCTTGATTTAAAGGGCAAACACTTAATCATCATTTTTATAACTTTATTTTCAAATGTGTTCAGCCTTTGCAGCTTGTGGTAGTTATTCTAATTTATATATCTAATATTGAGAAACATAAAATACATGTTTCATTAGATTTGACTCTAGAGGCTCTTCTGTTTCCTACAAGTGTGTATGCAAATTATAAATTTCCTATGGAAATCAACTGAAATCTGGAATTTGTATATCCTTTACAATTTTTTAGGTTGTTTTGGCTCTAAATTATAATATATATGCCCTTTAAACCCTATAGGGTTTGTAACCCACTATGGTGTCATTATGCTGAAGGCCTTCTCCTCTCATCCTTATTTCAGTAGATTGTGTCTTTGTTCCAAAGTCCTGCTGGTCGATGACTCTAACTAACCGAAATCTTTCTGTTTCCACTGGCTGCCATCCAAACTAAAAAGCCTGATTAATTCTCTCTGTTGCTCAGAGAATTAGAAAGGTCTCATTTGCAATAAATCTTGCTCTCTCATGTCCCTTAAGAAGCAAACATTTGTTCTCTGCAGCCAAAAGGTTGGAGACAAAGAGTTGTTGTTGAACACCAAACACTAACCTGGCAGAGTTTTACATCTTGCTGAGTGTTCTCACATTTTTGTTTCGCTTTTGTTCAGGAACTCGTACAATTATTTGCTCAGCTGAGATTTCTCTGTTATAACACGATTTGCCCTTTTTTTTATGCAGCCTTCTCCTGGTTTGTGAGCATCGGTTTGTAACCTTCTTTCACATTAGGCAGCCAAAACTCTGAATGTTGAATGTTGGTGAATGTTCCCACAAGGTTCAGCTATTCAGAGTATTTTGTACATCTTCCTTTTCCAGAAGCACTTCAATCCAAATGTTGTTCAGTGAGATTTACATGTTGCCAGAACACCCGAGGGTCAACGCATGTGAGCTGTAGGATGAATTGTGGAAGTGTGCCAGGAACTGAAGAACTCCACCCACTTCCAGTGTTGAGCCATCCTGCCTCTCTGTGTCTCGTCACACACCATTAGCTCCCCAAAGCATCATAAGACAAGCCTCAGTCACCACCTTGTTCCAGCAACCTGTCCAGATTGTAATGCCATGCTCTGCAGTGGGAGATTGTTCAGTCTCTGGATTAGACTTCACTTAGTCCACTGAACTCTGCGCCCTGAA